GAGGCTCGTGTATATCTTACCGAATTGTTCACTTCATCCGGCCCCAAACAGTGTGTGATAAAGGAGCGTTTTGTCAAACACTATCGTCATCCTGTCCTCGATGCTAACTTGTCCGGGCAGAGACTACGTGCAGAAGCTCGTCTTCTATTGCATTGTCGCAAACTGGGTATTGATGTACCGCCCGTACTCCTGGTAGATATTCCCACTCGCCGCCTTTGGCTCGGTCATATCGGTCCGGATGCACAAACCCTGAGTGCGTGGTTTGCATCGCTTGCTTCAACCTGTCCGTCCGAAGAATCGGATAACTCTCACGGAGACCGCCCTGATTTAACCGCATTTCAGATAGCCGGTGCTCGTTTGACAAAACTGACTGTCGCCCTCGGACGTCTCTTAGCGCGGTTACATGCCAACCATGTAACTCATGGTGATTTGACCATGGCCAACATCTTGGTCCGTAAGGTACTTCAAGTTTGTTTGACTGTATCCCATCTTTATGAAATATCTATCCATATATTTTGAACCAAAATTCATTCCTCATAGTCACTGACGGTCAAGCGAAACACATTATCTGTAAACTCATACCTCTCACTGTACCACATCTTATTTGACCAATAATTGATAATTCCTTTAGCATTTGGGCTTTGTAGTACGGTGATTTTCTTGGGGTCTGCATGACTCTAACTTTTAAGATTAAACAATAACCTCTACCATCGAACAATTGGTCCGTTATTCATATGATACACGCTCTACTTTTCATCCACTATTTGGCAAATTTGATTTAATACTGACCACTAATAACCTGACTTGATAGTTCATGAAAATATGGAATTCTACACTGCGTGAAAAAATGAATTGGCAGACCTACGAAGATGCCCTCAGAATTCATGTCTGGATTGCCTGAAACCGATTATTAAATTAATGTGTAACCCAACAGGAAGAAGTGAGCTCTTGAAGTTTATCGCAATATCACCTTCCTTCTCACTCGCCTACCTTACTTTATCGCTGCAGGCTCCCCGGAGAGGATCAGCTAGCTCCGTGAGATCATGGAGTTTTATAGGAGTTTGGTACAAGAGAGGTCACGCAAATCCTTCAAACACCAGCTCATCAAGAGTCTGAGGAATGACCGCGATAAGTGGTGGATAGGAAAGTGTAGAAAGATGGAGAAGGCTGCTTCTGTTGGTAATTGTCGCAATGTTTTCCGTCTAATTAGGAATACGGGTCCTAGGAACATGAGCGTGAGGTAATCAAAGAATCGGATGGCACACTGATTCACGATCAGCAACGCCGTCTTGATCGATGGGCTGAAAATTTCGAGGCTCGGTTCAACTGGTCCCCATCGACATCTGAGCTATCATCCTCCACTGCGACTGCTCAAATTTCGCCAGTCGATGCTAGTCCTCCATCTGAAATGGAGGTTTCCTGGGAAATAAGCTATCTCAAAAGGCATAAGACCTCCGGCCCAGACGGGCTCTCCGCATCCGTTTTTAAGGTTGAAGTTTTAGCATTGGTTTCGGAGTTAAAAACCTCCTGGGCTCATTGTGGGAAAAGGAACAGGTTCCAACTGAATGGTGTGAATCGGTGATCATATGATCAAGAAAGGTGACAGATCCTCCTGTGAAAACCACAGAGGAATTAGTTTAATCAACATTGCTTCTAAACTTCTCGCTGGTATCATACTCCGTCGATTGTCTGCCTCACGTGAAGAGTGCACTCGTGAGAATCAGGCTGATTTTAGACCTGATCGAGTTTGTATCGACCACATTTTCACTTTTCGCTAATGTGCATGACTCATGAATCTTTGAGTTGTTCTTTTGAAGATGTCCATGTTCCTTGAAATGATCTGTCGAACAGAAGGTCAGAGTAGTTTTCAATATCGACGAGAAATGGCAGTTATCCCCGTTTGTCCGTCTTCATCTTTCATCGAATTTCCACTGTATTGCGCAAGTTTGCGTTCTTTCATGTCTACCACAGGCACGCGCTCCATTTCAGCCTCGTAACTGGAATGACCTATTTCAGTTATTTGTTTTTTATCGTTGTTATATTTTACATTTGTCTGCGTTCATGCTGTGCCAAATAAATCACGGTACGATATGCTTTACAGCACACTTATCCATGTTTTATTGGTTGGCGAGATAATTCTAAGTTCCATAACACAAATCAGGTGAATTTTCTCGAAAGATCCATTACTGAAGACTTCGACTAACCGAAACCTAACCCGCAAGGCAGCGGGGCGGTGCAAAATCTCAGTCTACGCGGGAGCCGGTGTCCAGTTCATCGAATCCTGTAAGCTTTGTGCGGGATCTAACGTCCAAGGTGCCCAGCGCACCTCAGTATCCATCTAGCTGATCACCACTTCCAGTATCAGAAAAATATGGGTATGGTTCTTACAGTTCTTAGTTGGTTTGGAATCAGGTTGTGTTCTAAACTGCCCTCTTCATTGATCTGGGTGTTGGTTTTTTGGTCAATCACTTTAGTGGGAATATATTCACCACGTGAAGACAGTGAATAGAGCCTTCTTAACAGGGAGTATTTCAGAGGCCTGGTCCTATGGGTACATTTCGCGAGGTACGGTGAAGCAATGACCGGTTAGAATCCACCCACTCCCGCACTATACTGAGACTTCTGAGATATTGGTTATTTAGAACCAAATACAGTAGAACTGTTTTTAATAAAAATGAGCTGACGCTGGATGGTATCAAAGACGAATCGATGCTTTAATGGAAATCATTTAATTTTTAGGATCCTGTCTGCATTTCCTCTGTCGTCTTTAATCTGTATCAGCAAGTTCAAAATGGCCTTATCTTGAGGAGGTGAGCCATTGGGACTTGAATTGAACGAACAAGCAGATTTCGTTAAATAAACTCAGTAAAATTGAATACCTTGACAGTTGTCTTTTTCCGCAATATTTACTTTTAATTTTTGTCCTTTTTGTACTTTGTCAATGCTACCATCGCACTCGTCTCTTGTGCATAATGTAACTCATCCTTCCTGATTGCTTGGGATGCCTACACTTGCTAACTTTAGGCAACTTCCGAAGAGGAACGAGGAGAAACAGAGCCGCGACTAGTTCTCATCGATTTTGGTCTAGCCAGTGCAATCTCACATTCAGCCACTCAACGTCTACCGGAGGAGAAAGCGGTCGATTTGTACGTTTTCGAGCGTGCTCTGATCAACGCGCTAGATCTCAGTTTTCTGGAACGCATCGGTCATACATTCCCACAATTTGCGACCCCAGAAACTGTCATGAATTGTGTACTTGAAGCTTATTGTATACACTATCCGGCTGAGGCCACTCCTTTGCGTCGGGAAGCGGATGAAGGAAGCAAAAAAACCAATGGCACCAAAAATCCCCAAGACTCGTTTGCTGCATTACAAGCTGAAGTGAAATCCAATGTATCCAAACTCGATGAGGTGCGCCTACGAGGTCGTAAACGTCTAATGCTTGGTTGAAAGCACATTTTGTATGTGTGAGGTGCATTACCATTCTGTAAAATAAAACTATTTTCATTTGATGAAGTTCTGTGTTGTGAAAGCATTCTAGATGGGTAACTAAGATGCATGTTGATCCGACTTGAACCTAGAACGATTCGAACTATCCCACATATATGTGATTGGCTGCCCTATACTCGTGCTTGTTCGTCGCGTTGGAATTTATCGTTTAACTCATCCATATAACAATGCTAATCATGACCAGGATCTAATAATATTCTCGTCAGGACATGCTACGACTAAAAGCTGTGTATTCTGTGCTACCCACTGATTATTTGCTTGGTGAGAGTCATAAAGACCCTTGGATCAAAAATCGCAAACGGGCCGGATGGCAGACTGCACTTACTCGCACACCTGCCAAGATGACTGTGCCACCATTGGTCAGCACTAACGTTCGCTCACTATTCGCAAAGATCTCGGATTTAACCTCTGTTCTGAACACGCGCATTAGTTCCAACACGTGTGTTGTTTGTGTGCAAGAAACATGGCTAAACCAAAACATCGAAGACGTTCTCGTGCGAATAGAAGGGTTTGATTGCTACCGGCAGGATAGACAGCGAAATAGGAAAAAAACCGGAGGCGGTGTAGCTACTTACATCAATGTTTCCTGGTGTGGCAAGTCAGAAGTTATATATAACTACTCTGAAAAGTGCATTGACTGTTTGTCTGTTCGTTGTCACCCTAAATTTTCTCGTCACAAAAGTACAATCATCACCAATGTGTATATATCTCCCTCGTGTACTCGGGCCGACATTTCTGCTTTCTTTGATTCCTATATGGTGTTTCTAGTTTCATTATTAGATGAAAATCTCCACTTACTTGTTGGTGAGTTCAATCATGCAAGCATTTCTCCGCTTCCGTTTGGTCTGTCTGACCTTTCGCATTCTCTTACCAGTGGTAGTTCTGTGCTGGACAGAGTGATCACAAACCATCCCAACTTATTCTCTCTCAAACTAATGGCCCCGGTTTCTGCCAGTTACCATAGTATTCTTCTTGTTAGACCTAAGGTATTCTCTCGCATTTCTTATCGGGCATTCACACGTTCTACTCAGATAAAATTTCACCTACGGGACTTTTCACCGAACCGTATCTCTCTTCTCAACCGTTCTGTTGTGATTGTTTAGTCTTGGTTTGGTTCTTGTCCTTTACTTTTTAAATCTATCAATCTGTTTACTGATACGATTAAATCAATCTTTAACCTGTGCTGTCCAATGAAAACCTTGTTTGTCTGTAACGGTAGAATCATCTCGCCCTTTTTCAAATAACTGAGGAGGAACTGGCCTACAAATCTCGTCTTGCCTCTCTTGTAAAGCACTATTCTGAGTTAATCAGGTCCGAGATAACGTATCTCAATGCAATCTTCGCCGCCCAAATTCTGCGAACAAAGAACACCTTCTCTGTGGGCAGAACAGAAAACATTCTAATACTTCTGTGGATGTCAACGCCGCTTTCATCCACCCGTCAAACGAGAGCCAGATTTCCTGATTCCTATGCAATGAATACGCTTCAGTGCCTTTTTCCAATAATTTAATCTTCAAGCTTCTTCGATCCTGCAAACCATCCTCAGCTGCAGGCCCTGATGGTCTTCCTCCTGCACTTCTGAAATTTGGAGCAGCTTCCCTAAAAAATATGATGACATTCACTGTCAATGAGTCCCTATCTTCCCGGTCGATTCTTCATTCTTGGAGTCCAGTGACCATTATTCCGATCCCCAAATCCACGTCCTCAACTGTTCTTGCGAAACAGTTTCGTCCTTTCGCGTTAACCTCAGCGGCTCTAAACGTAACTGAGAAAGCCATCCTGAGTCGGTTGCAGTCAGACACCACAATTCCCCATGACCCCCTTCAGTTTGCTTATGAACCAAACAGATTTACATTAGTCGCCGTATCTACTCTAGTGCATTTTATCAGCAAGTCATTGAACCATTCGGTCAAGTCTGTCCGTTGTTTTTTGTGGTGATCCAGGCCTAC